TCCTCCAAAAGTGAAGCGCCAAGTCTCCAAAACGAGCGCTTCGTACGAGACTTCCTCCAAAAGTGAAGCGCCAAGTTAAGTCTCCACAACCAGCCTTTCGTACGAGACTTCCTCCAAAAGTGAAAGTCTCCAAAACGAACGTTTCGTACGAGACTTCCTCCAAAAGTGGAGCGCGACCAATCCAAAACGCACTCTCACCTGCATTTCGCGCACTCGACACGCACGATCTTCGCAAAGGGTCGCGTTTCGTGGCGCTCCGGCGGCGCTGCCCCCGGCCTTAAGAGAGAAAGTTAAGAAGATGAAGAGAGATGTGAGGATGTGAAGATGAAGAGAGAAAGTTAAGAAGAGCGAGAGGTGAAGATGTGAGATGTAGATGTGAGGATGTGAAGATGGGAGAGATCTAGATGTGCAGATATGAAGATGAGCTGAGATGTAGATGTGCTGATGTGAAGATGAGCAGATATATAGGTGAAAATGTGATTGTGCAGAGGTGAGGATGTGAAGATGTAGATGAGGTGTAGTTCTGCAGATGTTTTTTTACGAAGAACCCTTCGCAGGCGCTCTCGGGAAAAACACCCCTGCACCGCGCCACAGCGAGCTTGCACTGTGCCTTGCCAGGTTCCCTATGTAGCCTGTCTCGTTCAACTCTCGCATCGCTGCGTCCACCAATGGCACACCGGTCGAGCCTTCCTTCCATCTCCTGGAAGGTGGGCTTGTCGAATGAGCACTGGCCAAAAAGGCATGGAGGCTTGGTGAGCGGCCACATTTCTTTAGTGCGTTATAGAATCAAATGGATGGCAACCTCGAACAAGCAAATCAACCATGGACCACTTGCAGGGGCTTGGAGACTATTGCAAGTCATCCGGCGGCAAGTAGCGAAGAGAGCAAAAAGCGAAGTCAGAACCTGATAGAAACCGAGCCTGAAGCCACACAGGCATTTCTTACGCATCTTCAAAAAGTGACCGGTCAAGTCCCCAAAGCGAGCCAATTCGTAAGAACTTCTGCGGAAGTGGATCTGATCAGGTACCAGGCGTTTCCAGCACCAAGAACCGATCACCAATTCCCAGTTTTCGCCTTCTGCAAATGCGCCCTCGACTTTCTAACAAAAGAGTTCTGATGAGTTCTGATAGAAAGTTGGCCCCGCAACCTAGAACCAAACAGATCAGACTTTCCGAACAAAATTCTGACGCCGCACCAACCTAGAACTTGGTACTTCTCAGCAGAAATTCTTTCCACGTGCGTGGGAGTTCCCGGCTGGACTTGCATCCTACCCAATTCAACTGGCACTTGTCAAGGATGTCAAGTCCCACCCAAAGCACGACGTGTGTTTGTCTACCAAACAACTCCATCAAAAAACATGATGTGTGTGTAGATCAACACAGGAGTTTACTCCTTACAATCAAAAGACTTCAACAAACTATTCTTGCGAAACTGATTCACCTACCATCCTTTTGGGCAACTTTTGAACCACTTCCAGCGAGAAGAGCTCCAAGGCTGCCCTTTGTCAAGCCCATCTCTAATAGGTCATATGGGGAAAGAATATCTGCTATTGGGTTGGAGGCCATTGCTATTAGGTTCCTTTTGCTACTAGGAGCAAAGGGCATCGCTACTAGGAGCAAGGACGCTACTAGGTTGGAGGCCATTACCATATGGAGAGGACGGGAGAGATCAGGAGTTCCCACAGGCCGTATCGACCCCTCCGCCATCGACTGGGTCCTCTCAGCACCAAGGTCCCTTTTCCAGCTGCTCTCACTGCTCATTCCGTGAGCACCGCACTCGGCAGGGCCTGCCACATGGAAGAGCCCAGTGCCCCAGCGTGCCTTGGTCGGAGAGGATGGACTGGGATGGTTGGGGCTATGGGCTGGGATATCATATGGTATCTCAAAAAACTATGCCCTCCCATTCGTTCCATGTCCCCATACAGCTGAATCTCTAAATTCCTCACCAAACGTGTTCAAACCTCTCCGCATCTCTAAAGCTGCAACTTTTCGTCGCCGAGCTGCGGCCGTGTGCCGGAAGAAGTCTCGCCAGCACATCTCATAGACGAAATGCTCCACCTCAGGCCAGTCACCGCGCGGTCAGAGCACGAACCCTTTTCGTTCGGAGATGGTGGGGACCCAGTCTGGGAGAAAATCAGTCAGATTTCGCGAGTGGACTGGAGTGTGGGGTTTGACACGTGAGACCAACACTGCGGGTTTCACTTGTCCCCCAGAAACAGCTTGCCATCCCCAATGCCCGTGTTGAACTTTGGACATTCTGAGCAGAAAGAAGGATCCAAACCCAGCAGTTCACCAGCGGTTCACCCAGTTCACCCCCAACAGCCCTTCAGAACTGAATTGCTCGAATCCGGTGCCAATCACACCCGTCCAAGCCACATCTAAGTCGAAAGTTGAACCAAAGAACTGAAGGCATTGAAGGCATCGTGTTTTCGTTGAGTCTGCGTTGAGTCTGCGTTGGCCACCCTTTTTTAATACCCGTGTCACTTGCTTCAAACCTCAACCTGGATTTTGGCGACCACTTTGTGAGCGACATGGACGGATCTCGCCCAGCGGCATGGACGGAGGATTGGCCCGAGCCGTGTGAGAGTGCCTATTCGCAACATAGGCGGGCAGCAAATGTGGAGGGGATGGAGTGGAGGAACTGCTTGGTGGTGATGGATAAGGGGATTTTTGGAGGGGCCAAAGAGAGCTGAGAAATCATTTCCGGCCACCAAATGCTAGTCAGTCATTCGTCGTGTGGCGGTGACGTTCACCTCGCTCATCTTGGGTGTGCGCTTCACCCTTTCCAAAGTGCTCATGCTCGCCAATTTCGCAGTTAGCAAATAGCGCAGGTCTATTTTCATGAGTGAGCAAGTGCACTTTCCGTTTCGCCCGTGATTGTAGGAGCTTTACCATAGCTTTACCTGTCAACTGTTTGTGGGTCGGTGCACCCCAAAAAAGTCAACGAATGACTGGTGCAACCTTTCATCACAAGACCACTCTTCAAACTTGAGGTTTAGCTTTCACAACAAAATTGGGCAATTGGGGTATCATAAAACAATTCCAATTTACAGTCAACAGCCATTTATCAGCTTTACACAAACTAGTCGACAGCTCCGCAGTATTATAAATCAGTACGCACGCATGTTCCAGCAAGGAGGGCTTTGGTCCACGAAGATCCTTTACGAAATAGTTTCCAGTGCACCTTGTACTCCCCAAGAATTGTCACCCTTCCTTGAATACCAAGATGATGAAAACTCCTCAACTTCTCAACATTGAAAACTCAATTTGGGATCAGAGGTCCACCCCAATTCACCCAGGGAATTGTGAGCTTCGAAATGAGTTGGAAGGTTTTAGCAAATCTCCTCCAACAACCCCACAACATATTTCAATATTTCAAGGGGATGAGCTCTTCTGTAATTATGATCCTGGCAGATTGGGAATTCCTGGAGGCTGCGGCCCAAACTCCGCCCAGTTCTGATCCAGCTCCGAACTTCTCCGCCTCCTTCACCAGGCGCCGAGGTGAGATACAGCCATAGGCCAAGTGGGCTCCCAGCCTCGATGAGTAGTCACCTGCAAATGGCGATGAATTTCAACCGGATTATTCACTACTAGTAGCAAGAACGCTACTAGTAGCCACTGTAAGTGCATCGCTACGTTACTAGTAAGAAGAAGCTAGTAGTAACAAGGGCATCGCTACTAGTAGCAAGGACGGTACAGAATTCTTCATTTCTTTCGGTTGGCAACTATCGGTTTGTTGGCTGAACAGCAAAGTGGCTGGTGTTTTTTCCGCGAATCTTCATTGACATGGTCGAGTGTAGTCTTGACTAGGATGTGCCGGGAAAATCCTGTTGGGATCCAAAGACCCTCTCTTGGGAAGCTGGTAGGTATTTGCTACTGGCAGCACCACTGGACAATGAATCCGGCGTGACATGGTGGTGAGCTGCTCAGGGGTTCAAAGGATGGTGCAAGCAAGCTCTTCCATCGAGAGGATGAGGCAAGGCCACCCACAAAGCCGCGCCGCATGCGTTTATTTGGAGGTGAGTAAAGTGGCCTCGGCCTCTGGCAGAGTTTTAGGCCGCAAGCGCTCCCAAGATGCTTGGTGACAGATCGTTGCCATGCGAGACTGGCTGACTATCCCCTCCCCCAAACAGGTGTTCGCACAGGATTCGGGCGCTGATCAGTGGGATGTTTGCCAATCAAAACCTTCTTGTCTTTTCTGCTTCCCAAAGACATAAAAATCACTAGACATCTTCAAACGAGGTGACCCCGAAGCTCTGATGCCTGCAACAACAAATGCCCTGCATGGAGCCACATATTTATGAAATAGAGCAAAGTTAAACATGTCATGGAGCCCTGATGAAAACATCAGCGTCTCACTGCCCCAAGTCATCGTATGTAGCCTGTATGGTAAGTAAAAGGCCCAGCTACGGTTTTACTTTCCCTCTTTCAGACGTTCTTGCTCCTAGTAGCGATGCCCTTTGTTCCTAGTAGCTTCTTGTTCCTAGTAGCAATGGCCTCCAACCTACTAGTAGCGATAACCTCCACCCTAATAGCATCCTTGCTCCTTGCCTTGAAGGCTCCGGAAGGTATCTTTGTAACTCCGGAAGCCGCTGTTCAGCCAGACAGTCATGCGCTCCAAGCCCGCAGTCTCTCCACCTGGCAAACTCAGTCAAAGCGGAACAGCAGCGGAAAGTACTTGATCTCCCTACGATTGGGAAGCTTTTGCACAGATTGGGCCTACATTTGTAGTAGCAATGTTACTAGTAGCTTCTTGTTACTAGTAGTTATGGCCTCCACCCTAGTAGCTTCGCGTTCCTAGTAGCAAATGAGCTACTATCCCAAATAGAATTTTTAGGGTGTTTAGCATTGAAATTCACTTCAATCTTCTGATGTCCCAATCCACCTCTGTCCCACCCTTCCCCCGGCCTCGGATGTCTGTGCCTGGCACCGCATCCGTAAGCCGTAGCTCCTCGTCCTCCAACTCCGCACCGCTCGCGCTTGGCAGGTTCACCGGAGCGTCGGAGAGGCCCTTTTGGCAAATCTCCAAGAGGAAAGGTCCTAAGACAAGGGAAGTGCCGCACTGGTCATGATGCTTGTCGTTCGGTGGTTGGAGAAAAAGAAACAAACACAATCTCCTTTGCTTCATTGGGCCCACACTGCACAAAACAAAACTTTCCCATCCTCTGAATCCATTGCTGGACCTGGGTGGTCCACCGTTTGCATCGTTTTCTACATGACGTGATTGCAAAAAACAAGAATACGTCTTTCTGAAAACTGGGTTTGACCTGTCGGATGAGTCCTGTAAACTCATAAGCCAACAGCACCCTAACAATACGCCCCCCACGAAGAGCCACTCCCCTTTCCACCGGTTTCACCCTTGAGCTGAGTTGCTCAACGGCAAAAAGAACCGCTGGAAGATCACCGGGAACTCTTCGCCGCTCGGCACCCCTGCGCGTTGCAATTCTTCCGGGCCCACGAGGTCTGTGATGCCTTGCGCCAAAACGTCCAGGGTGGGAGTCCTGGAAGTATCCAGTAACCGCTAACACTTTTGCACCCCAGTGGTTAGCGTTTTGGAGGTCGATTCGTTTGCTTTTTCTTTTCCCAAACGTCTCAGATTCTCACCGTCTCATTCCGTGTGATTTTGTTGCCTGTGAGGTGTCTTGAAGCTACATGCCGATTGAACGGAATTATTTTCCAAACAGTTTACTGCTGTACGGATCTTTCAAGAAGTGGGTTGCATTGGGGAAACTTGGCGAGTCGCGCTTCCGTCTTGCTTTGTCGAAGCCTTGTCCAGGGCCTTGTCCCGCAGAGGTCCGTAGAGGTCTGGGTCACAGTTTTGATCTGAAATCCAACTTCGCACTCGTGGCTGTGCGCCTGCTGCAGGGACAACCTCCAAGGCAGCTCCCTTGGCCTCCAAGGCTTTCCGGACCCGCCGCTCCACCGCACGCTCCTAGAGCCCGTGAACAGGTGGGGAAAGGCTGTGGCAGCATGGTGCTGTGGATGGCAGGTGGGGTATGTCATAACTTCAAGGAAGTGTAGCTGCATGTGCGGTAGAGCTTGGCCAGTTGAGTGTGCACATTCATTTGGGGCCTGTTGGTGAGCCCAGGCTGGCAGTTACAAAGGGGCTTCTTAGGTCTTGGAAAGGAACCTCCAGCTACAACAACAACTTCTCACAAGTCCTCACATGATGTGCGCACCGGGCTGTTTATCACCCCAATACGACAAGGCGCTGCGCTCCTAGTCATCCATGCTCAGCCCACGAGCAATGTGGCCATTGGGAAAGGCTGCTGGAATCACAGCCGCGCACATGCCCAATAAGATCATTTCCACCCACTCCACAAGCTGCCACTAGTCAAGTGGGCCCCAGCCCGACCGGAGTGACGCGTGCGTTAACACATGTGCTGCGCTGCGCGCCCGATCATGATCCGTACTTGGTTGGTCAGTGTTGGAAGTGCCTGTCGCTCCTCCAAGCTAGGCTTGCGCAGTGGGCAATCCCAAGCCCGCCAACGTTAAACTAGCAAGGCATCGTCGTCCTCCCTTGTTGTTCCTTCGATTGGGAACCGCCCCGACTTAAACAACGCGTGGTCTCGCCGTTCACCTGGCCTCGGACCGAAGAGGACCTATTGGATTTCCTGTTAGGCGCACCAGCCTTTTGAGAGGGATCCATCTGGGTCAGACATGGACCAAGTCACCATGGTTTAAAACAGAAGTGCTGAAGTATGCGAGTGGTGCCATAATCTACCGCTCCTTCTTTGCACAAATGAGCATATTCGAACATAGGGGTTTAGGCAGTTCTCCTTACGACTTGTCAGACCCTATTCTCCCATGAATGGTGGGTCAATGGCCGTTTGTGATCCTTTGTCGGGGTCCCTTCAGGAGCCCCTAGTAGCGTCCTTGCTCTTAGTAGCGATGCCAGGGGCTCCTAGTAGCGAACATGGTTCCTCCTAGCTCCCGACATCTGCAACACGTGGTCGGTCATGGTGTGGTTCTTCGCAGTCCACACTGCCCTGCCCTCTGTCGCCCCGTGTCGCCCTTGTTTCTACGTGCTATGGCCTCCAACCTAAGAGCGATGGCCTCCAACCTAGAAGCTCATTTTCCTCTACTTTTCCCTATTGCGCCGCCCCAGCGATGTCCTCCGAACAGACTTGCGCCGTGACCAGTACAGTTGAGCCCTCCGAGACCAATGCTGGCAGCACCTGCGGTGAAAACTCATGTGATTTCGAGGTCGTTTTCTCCTTCAGGCCCCATGTTGGGCGCTTCTTGAATTCTGAAAGGTGATTTTCTGAAGACGGACCTTTGCTCAACTGTGACTCTGGGTCTGCAAATCTTTATTCAGCCCACGAGCTTTGGTACATAAGTGTTGCTGTTGCCAAAGCACACTCAATATTGGGGGCTGCAGTATGAGGGCGCATTCAAGCGGGACTTGTTGAAGCACCTTCTTGGTGATATTTTGCGAGTCTTGGTGATATCGTTTTTATATTTTTTCACGTTCTCTCTTTGACTATGAAACAAACTGCAACAACAACGACTCGTTCCTCGGGGACTTGAGTACACAGCTCCAAGCACCTCTTCTGGTGCCTTTTGCTGGACCAACAGCCTCGAGCCTCTTTCAGCCTCAGCCGCCACTGCAAGATGTGAGCGGGTTGGATCTGGAAACAGTGGAAATAGCTCGGTGCGTGATAGGCACTCAGGTATGGTCGCTGGGCAAGAGATTTTGAACACCACCTAAGACATATGGGCGTGCATTAGCATGGGGACCCCCTAGCCAATGATGTTTTTTTGGAACAAAACGACACACTTTGACAATGGGTTTGCAGTTAACTCAATTCCCGCGAAAAATGGACGCAAACGGCAAGGCAGCTGGGTCAGTGGAAGTGAAGGTGATTAACAAAAAGGTTTGTGACTGCAGACTCTAGTTGCTGAATACGTAGCGAGGGAAACCTGTTTTGGGATCTATCATGAGAACGACCATGGAAACACACCAAGAAAGTAGACAGCGTGAACAACAGTTGTTTTGCAGGTACACAGAGCTGATCAGGCTCTGCATCCCCTTCTTGTCCACAGCTTCATTGCGTGTGGTAGGACAAGAGGGCCACACGCCCCTGCAAACAAATCTTGAACTCCTGGAAACGGAGGGTGGCACACACGCACACCCGGCCGCTTCGCGGCGCTTTCACACAGAGCCCGAAATAGACACCTAAGAAGCCTTAGAAACGAGAGAAAGAAAAACAGAAAGAGCAGCGCTACAAGGGCAGGAGAGAAAGATAGGGGTAGCAAAAGGTGACTACTTAGCCCTTGACTGGGGCAGGGAAACGAGCCTCCTGAAAGAAACGCAAAGAAACGACGAAAAACGTAATAAAGACAGAAAACAGTGGGCAGGGAGGGGGTGTATGTCCATGTGTGTGTCTGAATACTTAGCACTGTAGAGTTACCGATTACTTAGCGGAAACTAATTGGGTGCAATAGTTAGGGAGCGGGACTTTAGTCTTGAACCGCCTGGGTAGAGTAGACTAGAACAGGGACAACAGAGAGAAAGTCACTGACACACAAGTGTGTCGAGTACCATTTCCCTCTGTTAACCTAATTGGAGGGGTGGTAGAGGAAACCGCGAAAGCTCCAAAACGAAAAGACTCCGTAAACCCGGCAGTATCAAATCTCCGTAAACTCGGCAGTGTGGTAGCAGGAGATTCATGGGGTGAAGCATTCAATCCAAAAGTGATAATCCAACGTGTGCGGAAAACGCTGAGTCAATATGTGATTCACGATGGCGCCTCTCTTGCGAGAGGATCACACTCTGCACCCAGTGGGACGACAGAGCGGCACACAGTTTGACAATGGGTTTGCAGTTAGCTCAATTCCCGCGAAAAATGCACGCAAACGGCAAGGCGGCTGGGTCAGTGGAAGTGAAGGTGTTTAACAAAAAGGTTTGCATGACTGCGGACTCTAGTTGCTGAATACGTAGCGAGGGAAACCTGTTTTGGGATCTATCATGAGAACGACCATGGAAACACACCAAGAAAGTAGACAGCGTGAACAACAGTTGTTTTGCAGGTACACAGAGCTGATCAGGCTCTGCATCCCCTTCTTGTCCACAGCTTCATTGCGTGTGGTAGGACAAGAGGGCCACACGCCCCTGCAAACAAATCTTGAACTCCTGGAAACGGAGGGTGGCACACACGCACACACCAATGCACTTGCGAAGGCTTGGGTGCCTTGTGGCCTCCAACCTGATCGAACGCGGTTGTGTCGGCAAGCTGCCACACGCCGCCGGAGGTCGCACAGGCACTCCTCTACCTCGCGGTGTTGGGGACCGGTGTTGAGAAACATTCAAAAACAAAAGCAACGATTCTCTGAAGGAACTTAAGCAACGAATCAATACTCTTCCCTGTTTCTTTTTTAATTTTCCATGTTCCTTCATTTTCTTGTTGGGTCTATGGAGAAACGAAGAGTGGACTGCAAAAATAATGATCAAATTTAGCCAGCTGTTACGGGGAAAAGGGCTCAAGCGATATGCAGGACGATGCTGCTAGTCCAGAATTGACCAAAGGAAAGCAGTGGTGAACCACCTGTGGTGGGACCAAGGAAACGAAAAACGGTGGTGGAACCTTGGCTTCTTTATCGTCACCGTCCCGAGTGGGTTGATGGACAGCCTATGAGTGGATCATCAGTGCGGACCTGGGTTGTAAGTTTATGGGATTTTGGGAAGGCTTCCCCAGTCTGAAGCCCAGAGATGGGGAATCATGTGTTTGACATCTTTTAGGATTCTGGCAGCTCATTTATGCTTGTTTTTCTGCGATGAAAAGGCTTTCGCGAGCGACACTCTCGCTTTGGCTCCATCAGGGCACCGTTTCACACTGGTGCCGAATTGCATGTCCAGCTAGCCTTACAAAGAAAACACTTCTTGAAAGGTTGAGCCCCACAACAGTTTATTGAACCGTTTTCTAGACCTCCAAGGTTACCAAAAAACTTCACAGAACAGAAAAACAGAACTAGCGTTTTTTCCACCTGCTTCCCCAAACCTCGATTCTCTGAGCCACGAAGCGCTTTCGCAGCTCTCCGACCTGTGGAGAACGGAGCGGTTTTTGGAAATCTCGTTCCTCGAAAAGGCAAAGAGAAGAAACCATCTTCAAACATATACTCTTGTTGCTATACTAGCGATGGCTAGAAGCTTCTAGCTACTAGTAGTAATCTTTGAACATATGCTCTTGTTGGTATGTTGGTTAATAACATGTTTACATCTAATTAAGAAGTGCTTTGTTTTCTTTTTTGGTCGATCCAATGCTCTGAGTGCCAGGTACACCTCTGCCATTCACCTCTCCACAGTCTCAAAGAGCTGTTCTTGACATACCTTCCTATGATGCTGCGCTTGTCTTTCCCCGCTCCCGGGCCATTCGTCTTTTAGTTTCTTTTGACCTTTGTACATCTTTCAACCGGCAACGGCCTTGGGGCTTCCAAAGGCGGTGGTCGCCTGAAACTCACGGGGATCTAAGCCTTGGTCGAGTGGAACATGGGGCGTCAAGAGTCGACCCGCCGAGAAAACGGCCGCTTGCCACATTAAGTGGGGAGAAGGGGCCCAAAACTAGCGTCCTTGTTCCTAGTAAGGCCAGGAGCCCCTAGTAGCTTCTTGTTACTACTAGTAAGGCACTTGTTACTAGAAGCGATGCACTTGTTACTAGTAGCGTCCTTGTTCCTACCAGGAGCCCCGTTCGTAGCGTCCGATCGCTCCGTTCGTAGCGATGCCCTTTGCTCCTAGTAGCCTCTTGCTCCTACAGTAGTACTTTCATTTTCTCTCACTGAGATGGAAAACGGCAATTCAATGGCTCCCTGAGAACCGACAAAGAAACAACTGGGTACGGCCTATGGTTCATCCAGCAAATTACTATGTTTCGGACGAAAAAAGGGAATCTCGTGCTGTCGTGGTGGCATTCGTGCAAGTAGGGTTTGCTCCAGGGCTGCTAGGATGTGTCGCAATGGGAACACTATAGGCAGAAGTATCCAAGAATTGTGTAGAAGGAGTGCCCCGGCAAAATAGATTGGATTGGACTTTTCTTTAGAGGCAATCAACTCTCTATCTATTTGCAGGTCGGCTTGGCACAAAACGCAGTGTTTAGATGAAACCACCTGTAAAGCATGAACTTTGCAATCTTTTCTTGGGTTCCCAACTTCCTAACCGATGTTTTTTCACACACCCTTTGTAATTAGAGGTCAATCGAAAAACGCTGGGCATCTGTGTCCGAGGGGCACACCACTAGCTGCAGGTTGCCTTTAGCCAGCTGGAGCCCCCGTTGCAGCAATGGGTTGTCGCAAAGCCGCAGTTCGTTCCGCAGCCAAACCACCACCGGCGCAGTGGCGGATGCCGTGTCCGCTGAATCCCCGGCGGCAGCTGAGATCGGGGCGACAAGTGGCATGTCCAGTCCACCAAGAAATGCACAAGACGGAAGACCCCTACTAGCGATGGCCTCCAACCTACTAGCGATGGCCTCCAGACGGAAGACCGGATTGTTTTAATTTTTAAGTCGCTTTTTATCCGGAAAAACAAAAACAAACTCTGCAAGAGATCGACAACGTAGTGGTGACGTTGTCCATTTTGCCCGTGGAGGGGCATAAAGTCGAACGATCTTAGAAACCCTTTATGGTCGTAGGTCAAAACGAAGGGCCACTGGGACAATGAAAAGGAAGCACTTGGGTTCTCAATTTGGGGGCCTCTGTTGCTCAGAGCAACTGGAAAAAACCGGTTTCCACCTCTTTTGGTGCTGAATTGTAAACCGAGAAATTGGGGATGCCACTTCAAAGTAGCTATTTGCTACTATAGTAATGCCCTTGTTACTAGTATCGATGCCCTTGTTCCAGGAGCTACTAGTAGCGTCCTTGCTCCTGAAGCTAAACTACTATTAGTTAAGCTTCGCAAAAAATCTAGGAACCCTCAAAATCTAGGAACCAAATCATTAGTGCCAGCGCCTCTTCAAGGAAGCTTCCCCCACCGCCTTGGGAGCTTGAAGAAACGCTTCGCTATCCTGCGCCCATACTAGCTTAAGTAAGCTACTAGCTGCCGAGCTACACGTTTCGTGGTCTACACCCCCGATCTCTCGTTTCGTGTTGGAGTCTTGGGAGTCGGTCCTCTTCGTAGCGATGCCAATTTGGTTCCGTTCGGTTCGCGTCCTTTCTCGCTCCGTTCGTTTCTAAGGCCAGAGTAGCGTCCTTGTTCCGGCCAAACTGTGTTGCAAAAGGGGTTTCCGAGTTTCAGAGGAACACAAGAAGTTTGCAAGAAGGCCTTCCCCCAAGCTCTTTGGCAAACACTTCTTAGTAGGAACATGAAGCTACTAGGAGGAAAGGGCATCGGCATCGCTACTAGGAGCGATCGGACGCTACGAACGGGGCTCCTGGCCTTACTAGGAACAAGGACGCTACTAGCTAGAGGAACAGCGGACACTGGAGTCTCTGAACCCCTGGACTTCTATGGACCTGCTATGGACACTTCCTGGATATCCAACAGGAATCCAGATCCCTTCATCACCACTTTTCTTTCTTTTTCATGTTGACTATTCCTTCCATTTCGCTACTAGTAACTAGAGTTCTCTTTCCCCTTCTATTCCGCTTTCAAACATCAGGGCCTCACCTGGCACACGTCTCCAGCGCCGCACCGGCGATGCCATTGGCACCCAGTGACCGGTGCGCCTCGGCAAACGTCCGTCTCGAGGAGGAGCCCCTAGTAGCTTCTTGTTACTACTAGTAAGGCACTTGTTACTAGTAGCGATGCACTTGTTTCTAATAGCTTCTTGTTACTACTAGTAAGGCCACGAGTAAGGCACTTGTTACTAGTAGCGTGGCACTTGTTACTACTAGCTTCTCAAAAGAACTCGTCTTTTTTGGGGGCTCAGATCTGAGTGGTTTCCAAATGGAAAAGAACAGCTAGTAGGTTGGAGGCCATCGCTATTAATCAGGTGAAGAATTCCAGATCAGGACAAGAACACTCAGAACTTTGTGAACGTCCGAGTTCGGTCTTCCTTTCTTCCCAACCTCCGTGTCACGAATGGGACTTGATCTTTAAAGATCCGGTTCCAGGCACTGTTTTGTCCTTTTTCTCTGGATCGACAGGTCTTTTAGCATCACGCAGTTCCAGATTTCCTCGTCTTCCCTCCGAGATGCCAAGGGAAGCCCAAGAGCAGGAACACCAGCGGAAGTGTCGAAGTTGGTGGACCACGGGCGCATCTCATGTGCCAACCATGCGGAAAAGTTCAAGCTAGGTGAACTACTGAAATGTTTTTTTTATTTTGTTACGTAAAAGGCAAACGGTTCTTTTTTTGAATCAAATAAAACTTTTGCAATCACTTCTTCGCCTAGAAGCATGTCTTCTGACTTTTTTCTGCTTGTGATCTGGTTTCTCAAACTACTAGTAGCAAGAAGCTACTAAAGACAAGAGCATCGCTGCCTCTCACAACGTTCGGAACAAGGGCGCGTCGTTCGTTTTGGGACCCGAACACGCTGTGTTCGTCCAAGTGGAGGTTGTCACATAAAGCATGCCTTGCGGACAGTGTCCTCGAGCCAAAACGAAGGGTCCAGTCGAGGCAGGGAAGTCGCTGGCTGTGTCCAAAACTCTCAGGGTGACATAGTTGAACCTTCCGCAGTTCTCACAAACATTTAGGAGCCTGACTTTGGAGAAGTCAGTTTGGATCCATCTTCCAGGCTAGTCTTCAGGCTTGACCTTCTAACCTTGCTGCTGGAACGTCAACAAAAGTAGCATGAAACCCAAACCTGAAACCCAACCTTTTGACCTCAACAAATCTATAGATTTCATCGGAGAACCCCACCCACATTCCGATATTCTCGCAACGAGCTGGTCAAGGAGACTCCCCCCAGCGCTTCTTTCCAACTGGCAAAAGGTACTCTCTCCGTCTCTCTCTCTCTCTCTCTTTTGCGTGCCACCTCAGGAATCCCAATCCCGCAAACATCGTGCAAAGTTTCTGGTTTCTTCCAGTACTCAGTTGTTCCGAGGAATCCCTTTTGCCTGCTCCAGTTTCCATATGGTATCACCACCTCCCTGAAATGACACCTTCCATTCCCCCGAATCCAGAGGGTAATTGTGGGGAAGGGCCGCTTGTTGCTGCAGAAACTGACGCCCCTTCCCTACGATATGTGGGAGTGGAACACAGCAGTCGGGCACGTTCCAGCTCCAGGTGAGACTTGCAAGGTGCCAAATGTAAACCTTTATCAACTGTCAATCGAATGGGACACGCCCAACATCCATCAGTTTTGCTGCACCACTTCGAATTACCAAGCCCCTTCCAAGAATATTATCTTCCAAGTTGGATCTTCAGCACTGCATGATTGAAGAATGACCCATCTCTCACAATGTAACACAGGTCATGCATGCCGGAAAAGCGACGGAACCCACATTTGAAGGGATTCTTCACCCAGCAATTAGGTTCCAGGCCAACGCTATTAGGGTGGAGGCCATCGCTATTATTAGGTTGGAGGCCATCCCGGGTGGAGGCCACCGCTAGTAGGTTGGAGGCCATCGCTAGTAGGTTGGAGGCCATCGCTAGCAGGTTGGAGGCCATCGCTAGTAGATTGGAGGACACCACTTTTAGGTTGGAGGCCATCGCTAGGTTGGAGGCCACCGCTAGTAGGTTGGAGGCCATCG